AAGCATCTGACTTCGGCTCAGGTCATGATCTCACAATCTGTGGGTTCAAGCCCCGCATCAGGCTCTGTGCTGACAGCTCAGAGCCAGGAGCCTGTTTCAGATTCTGTGTCTCCCTCTCTCTCTGACCCTCCCTAGCTCACTCTCTGTCTCTCAAAAATGAATAAACGTTAAAAAATTAATTTAAAAAATCCTTAGCATTTACTTATTGTTCCTCCTCTATATTTTCATCAGTTACAATCAGTGGTTTTCATTATCTACCCCGATGTATTTTTAAAAATTATTATTTCTAATAAGCTACATTAGTTCACAAGGAAAACCAATCTGAAGAGGATTTTAAGCGAAGGGAGTCATAAGCCGACTGAACTTTAAAAGGAGCTTTAGAGTGTGGGTCCCCGTAAAACCACTGAAGAAAAGCACAGAGAGATGAAGAAGCCAGATCAAACCAGCCCAGTTACTGTCTTGCAAAAATAATGGCTATAGCAGCTCCGGGTAGCTCTGCAGGCTGACTAGCTCTTCTTGCAAGTTGGATGGACAAGACGTGGCAGAGAAAAGCTAAGGGAAGTCACTGGGAACCCCACCACATTTGAATGTCATTAAGATCCCAGGAACCTGCAATAACAAATATTAATGGGAAAATACGGAACGAAATCCCAACAGTAAATTCTACCATCCTAATTCCACAGTTAAGTAGTGCTGTGATATTAGGCAAGTTACTTAACTAAAGTCTGTTTCCTCACGATTTAAAATAAGGTTTAAAGCTTAAAACAAGGTTTAAAATACCTGCCTTAAAGCCTTGTTATGAACAGTATCTCTTCTGTGGTATTCTTGCCAAAATCCACAACCCAATCATGAGAAAAAATCAGACAAAACCCAAATTCAGAGACATTCTAGCAAATAACTGACCGATTCTCTTCAAAGGGGCCAAGGTCACAAAAGACTGAGGAAGTGCCATAAATTGGAGGAGACGCAAAAACTAAATGCTACATGGGATCCTGGATTTGATCCCAGACCAGTAAGAGGCTCGTGGAAAAATGGGTGAAATCTGAAATAGGTCTTCAGCTACTATTGTACCAAATTAATTGTTTGGCTTTAAATCACTGGGTCATGATCATGTAAAAGGAAGCCTGGAGAAGGATGTAGTAAGTACTATGATTGCAACTTGGTAAATCTGAAATTATTATAAAATGAAAGAATTAAAAAGAAAAGAGCAATTTAAAAAGCCTAGTCGTGAGAACTAAATACAAGATCACTAATTTAATACACTGCCTTCTTTTTTTTTTCTTTTTTTCTTCATTCAATGGCTAAACTTAGTGGCCATGGCCATGAACAGTAGGAACATTATGTTAATACTGGCCAAGCCCAGGTTTGGACGGCTAACAATGAAGCGTGTTGTTCAACTGCAACAAAATGTGGACATTTTACACTGAATGATTACAAATATTCTTGCAAGAGCCTACTGACCATCAATATTTCACTCTTGGTACAACACAATCGTTACTCAGTGCTTCAGGAAGTGTGGATTCTGTTTGGTCAATGGTGACAGGCTTACATTTACCTAATGCCATCAGCGTTTAAAAGTAGCATGTCAAATCTTCATTCCTCTGACTGGGACTACTCTCATCTTGTCAAACTTCAACAGTTTTTTTGTGAGGTAACACCTGGGAAAATAAACCGCTTTCACATAAATTGTAGACAGCTCACAATGCGCATAGCTTGAAACACTGTAACTCCTGGTTTCTATGGTTTAGTTTAAACTTGAGTCTACCTCTAGCCTTGAGGGGCAAAAATCTGCCTCTGAGATAACTAAAGGTTCCCAATGTCAACCTTATCATTCAAGATTTTGCTTTTCTTAAAGAAAACATTAAAACAACCTAGGAATTACAATACTTTATCAGTCATAGTTTCCAACAAAGAGCTGCTATGCCCCCGTCCCTGCCCCCAACTTCTGCCTCTCACCTCAGGGAATAACTGTGTAACCAAACTAATAGCAAGCAACTTGGCTATTTCTTAGATTTCTTAGAATCATCCATATGATAAAAATACATTTTCCATAGACTATACTATTGCAAAATAATTTCTGTTTCCTACAAAGGCTATGAGATATCATAAAAACGTCTAATCCATCTGGTTTAAGAATCCTATTCTTCCTTCACATATTTCTGCATCTGTTCACAAAAATCTCTTGGACTTCAAAGGAAGCTTTTCAAGAGAAAAAGAAGGTACATACAGGAAAAGTGGCCATAAATTTCTAATAGTCCTTTTCTAAGGCCATTTTAATAATAGCACTGTGGGACAGGTATCTCTTTAGGTTTTTAGAGATCTAAAATATCACAGATGATATTAACGACTATGCATTTATATGGAGATTTATGCCATAACACTTTATTATGGGTCTAAAAGTGATATATCTTCAATTTATAACATGTGAAACATACAGAAAGCTTAAAGAAGAAAACTTCAGTCACTTTTAACCCACTATTTAGGAAGACTGAAGCAAAACAAAAAAAGTTAAACTGGTTGTTTCCTTCCAGTCTTTTCTGTGTGTGTGTGTGTGTGTGTGTGTGTGTGTATTTATTTAAATACTTATTAACAAACAATATTATAATTACAGTATGAATATAGTTTTGTAACTTTTCTCAATTGGTCTTTTAAGCCATCATATTTAATGACTTAAACTTACAGGTAGGTTTATACTTTAAAAGAAGTGCTCTCACTTATACATTTAATTCTTATTAAATGTAATTAATAAGATCATAAAGTAATAAGAGTACTCAAATTAAAGGTTTGTGAACATTAATCTGTTCTAGAAGTTCTACATTTTAAAACTATCTAGATTAGCAGTTGATTAACTTTAACATAACCATATTCACTAATTCCATTGAAACAATAACAGAAGTTTAAGATATTCTTTTTGGGGGGGTCCTGGGTGTCTCATTCAGCTAAGCATCTGACTTCCTATCAGGTCATGATCTCATGGCAGGTGAGTTCAAGCCCTGCAACAGCTCCCTGCTGATAGCAGAGAGCCTGCTTCAGATCCTCGGCCCCCCTCTCTCTGCCCCTCCCCTGTTCACACCCTCTCTCTCAAAAATAGATAAAAAACATTTTTATTAAAAAAAATGTTTTTGTGGGGCGCCTGGGTGGCTTAGTCGGTTAAGCATCCGACTTTCGCTTAGGTCATGATCTCGCGGTTCGTGGGTTCGAGCCCCGCATCGGGCTCTGTGCAGACTGCCAGCTCAGAGCCTGGAGCCTATTTCAGAGTCTGTATCTCCCTCTCTCTCTGACCCTCCCCTGATCACGCTGTCTCTCTCTCTCTCTCTCTCTCTCTCTCCTAGAAATAAATAAAAATATTTTTTAAAAAGTTTTTGTAAATTTAGCAGCAGAAGGAGAGGGAGACACAGAATCCGAGCCCAACATGGGGCTCAAACCCATAAACCATGAGATCATGACTTGCGCCAAAGTCAGATGCTTAACCGACTGAGCCACTCAGGTGCCCCTAGAGTAAAAACAATTTTTTAAAAAGAAAGAAAATTTTCCTTTAGAATATATAACAATTTAGTGCCCTAAAATTGCCTGTGCAATCATTAGTGGGCTCTAGCTTGCTTTCATTTTCTCTTTGATTTTCTATTTCTCATGACATCCTCCCTTCTTTGGTTTGAAATGAGAGGAAATTTAGGTCTAAGGCTTAGTTACTTTGGTACCATAGGTCTTAATATGCTATTAGCTATAAAATAGTAATCAGCCTATTCTGGTTCTGTAAAATCAAACTCTCAAACTTCAAAGAGAGGGGTATCTAATGGATTTGCCTAATTTTGAATCAATTCTTACCTAACATTGCTGCCTGAAATTTAAAATAACATTTCAGTAGCTGTTTTGCTGACAAGAGTTCTCTGGTATAACCTTTATCCTTAAAAGGATCTTATGAGGCCCATATCAATGAAGAAAATTTAACTATAGAACATTAAATAATCTTTGGGATGACTACTCAAATCTTGGTTTCCATGATTAATCTAATTGCTTTACTTTGGCTTCATAATTATGGAGCCATAGATTTTCCAAAGCTTGAAGGAACATTAATAGGCCAATCGGTCCAACCCTTCCTCCACCCATTTTGCTAAAGAAAATAAATCCAGCGAGATTTTACTTGTCATGTCACACAGCTAGCAGGTCCCCTGACCTTTGATTTTCTAATTTCAAGACTAGTAATTTCCAAAATACCAGTTACCACACAAAATCCACTCCTATGCATTATGACAATGAATACACAGGATGCCAAAAAATCATCTAATCACAGACTCTCAAGTTTCTCCCTACTTTCCCATGGATACGTCCCACGAGATGTACAGCAAAGTGCCTAACACCGAGAGATTGCACTTGGAAAACTTGCTGTAATTCCTTCACAGAGCCCGCTAGATACAGGTCTACTTTGGGGGGATGAGGAAGAACCAGAGAGGAAGCCGCACCGACACCTGACACTGAAGTGCCGCACTGCCAGAAGGAGGACGTGAAGTAGCTGCTCGATTTAAAAATATCGCCCAATTCCTCACAAGACCTCCTCTCTAATTTCTGCGCTGGCCCCTCGGCTTGCTGCTAGGGAAAGGAGGTTTAAACAGAAATAAAAAGGAGGTGAATCGAAAGGAGGGGACCTTGAGAAGGCGAGCAGACGGGGAAAGGACACGCGCTGTCTGAGGACTTCACACAGGACTCAGCTTCCCGCGTTGCCCCGCAACAGCGTCGGGACCACGTTCTACGGAGGCCCAGTGGGCGGGCAGAAGCGCGCTCCTCCCACCAAGGCGCCTGACGTCATCGCACAGCCTTGCAACGTCGCCACGTTCAGAGTAGGAGGGCAGTCTTAGGCGAGTCGACCTTAGGAGAGAAACGCCTTGGTGCTCTCCAGTTGGAACAGGAAGAGAGGCGAATGGAGAGAGGGAAGACGAGGAGGACCTAGCGGGATGGGGAAGTGGCGGGAGAAAGGGCAGCTTTGGTTACCTGGGGAGCATGAGCAGCGTCGGGTCCTTTATGAAGTGCCCGGATGAAGCTCCAGGACCCACGCGCCTTCCGTATTGAGTGCATCGCCATCTTGAGAGGGGCGGAGCCGTCTTGGCGTGTGTGACGTCTGCTCAAAGAGCCAATCCCAGAGTCGCGGCTGCTTTGCTTGCTGCGCGTGCGTGCACGTACCCGGGCGTGCAGTGCTGCGGCCGGTTTCGGGATGGCTGTCAGGTCTTTGCAGAGCAGGTGGGGACTGGGACTGGGTGGGGCTTAGCGTTAGTGTGTCCGATAGAGACCTAGTCTCTTTGTAGACTTCATGGTGGAAGAATTTCCTACCTGGATAGTAGTAGCATCGTTTTAGACTGCAAAAAAGTCCATACGTTGCCTTAGGGGTCCTAGCCATCCAGAGGCATCTTTTAAGAAGTTTCTCTCGGAATGGGGCCTTTCCAATCCTGTTAGAGCGCAGTAAGTGGTCCTTTGAGACTTAATTAATTAATTAATGCTTCATTAATTCATTCCGTCTACAAACGTTTGTTAACCTTACCAACTGCTAGGTACTGAAGGTACAAAGACACCTATCTTATGCGACCTAATGGGTAACAGGTAAATAAACGATGCACTGTTGTGTTATAGAAGGAAACACTCAAGATTGGGGAAGAGGGGTGGTTAAGATTTTGGTGCCTAAGCCTGGTCCAGGGAAGGCTTCCGAAGGTGTTACTGGTAGAAGAAATTGCGTTTGAGTTAAATTATGAGAAGAATTAACACAGTATTCCTGCTAATGCGCTCATAAAGCTCCCAGATAGAAAAGAACCTATCAGTATAAACATAACAGGATGAGACTTGTCAGAGTTCTTTTATGTGTTTTCTTGTGTTTATCCATTGAACAAACACTGAAAATTACCACGTTTCCATAGGGAGAGGTACAAGATGAATAAGGATGCCCGTACTCTTTTTTTCTCCCCCCCCCCCCAAAGTTTTTTAAATGTTTTATTTATTTCTGAGAGAGAGACAGCGTGAGTGGGGCAGGGTCAGAGAGAGAGGGAGTCACAGGATCTGAAACAGGCTCCAGGCTGTGAGCTAGCTGTCAGCACAGAGCCTGACCTGGGGCTCAAACCCATGAACGGTGAGATCATGACCTGCGCGGAAGTCGGCTGCCCAACCAAATGAGCCACCCAGGCACCCCGAGATGCCTGTACTCTTAAAGCAGCTGAAATCTTAACAGGTTAAGAAAATGTGTGAATTAAAACCGTACATTAAAATCTGTTAATAGTGGTACAAAGTACTGGTGACATCCAGGCATAATTGGAGTAATGTCGAAATAAGCAGAGAAGAAATTGGAGGGATTAAGGGGGGAAAAAATCCTAAGGAAATCAAGTCTTATTCTTGTACAAATCAGTTGAAGTTTGCTTTTGTCTCTTAAATTTGAGGTGTGTGCAGTAGTTCCAAATGTGATGACTATTAAATAGGTCTGGGGCTCAGGAGAGAGGTCCAAACTGCAAAATAAATAGTGGTTGAAAGCAAGGAAGTCTGAGACCACCAGGTAGAGTCCGTGGAATAGAAGTGGTCAGATGATGGAAATTCAAAGGGGTAGTCAAAACAATTAAAACCCCCAAAATGTGGTATTACCGAACCCCAGGAAAGACTTTGCCAGTGGAAGTAATGATTGATCATTATAAAGGTACATAGTAGTGGGGGTCACCTGAGTGGCACAGTTAAGTGTTCAACTCTTGACTTCAACCTCAGGTCATGATCTCGCCGTTCATGAGTTCAAGCCCGGTATCCGACTCTCTACAGTCAACAGAATCCACTTTGGATCCTCTGTCCCCCTCTCTCTTTGCCCATCCCCCTCTCTTTTTGCCCCTCCCCCGCTCTTTCTCTCTCTCACTCTCTTTCCCTTTCTTAAAAATAAGTAAACGTTAAAAAAAAATAAACATGCAGTTTTAGAAATGCCTAAATGTTTTGTACTTATATGTACAGCAAAGCATTAAAATACAGTTTTTTTACAGATGTTATTAATTAGATTAAATGAGCCTAGGAATTAGTAAAATTGGACTGCTGACATCCTCACCCATCCAGATTATAAGACAAAGCCTGGGAATAAGATGATGGTTACAGCAGAAAGCTGTCAAAGGTCTGTCCACTTTATCTCCACATCTCCACTTTATTTTTTATCTACAAAAAATCACATGACTGATAGTATTTCCTTGGGAGATATTTCCAAGGCATACTGGCATTGAAGAAAGTATATGGGAACACAATGTAACAACTTCAATATCTGTATTTTTTATGTTAATTTATTTTGAGAGAGAGGACATGCAAGTGGGGGGGGGCACTCATTTTTTAAACAAGTTATTTTCAAACTTAGAAGTAATTGTTCCCCACCACAGAGGTGACCCAGTGACTTTTGAGTGTCACTCAGCCAACCAGGTTGCCCCTTGGACAGGGACGGGTCTGTGTTTTGTATTTCTTACATCTCCCCCGAGCATCTAGTATACTACCTTGCACAGAGAAGGCACATCTTTTATATCTAAATTTTATTTTGACAAAAGTATGTAACTAATTGCAGAGGTTGGTATGTTTTCAACAGCCAGGAGGGACAGCCGATAGCAGAAAAGACACTAGACTTATTTAAAGCAAGTTAGTTTCATCTGTTGTACTTTTTTTTTTTTTTTTTTTACAATGGATTCTGAAACCTTTGGCGTTTTGAAAGGTTCATGAAAAAGCTCGCCATTGTCTAAGCCCCCTACCTTCCACCCTTCTAGGAAGTGCAATGTATTCAGCATATTTTAAATGTTCATCCTGAATCTCGAGGAAAAGGTATGTTATTCAGCATATCTTTTAATGAACAATTGTATAATACACTTTTGAATGTGTCTATACAAAGTGATTAACATTTTATTTTTTTTATTTTATAGTTTATTGTCAAGTTGGTTTCCATATAATACCCAGTGAGTGATTAACATTTTAAAAGTTTGTATAATGCGGGGTTAGTGTGGTTACATGAGAAGGTCATTTCATGGAATATTTCATCGTCCAACAGTGTTGTTTAAATGAAGCATCACTGCATTTATTGGCAGTATTTCACACTGCCATCATTGGGTAAGCCAAACTTAACTTTAGTAAAATGAGATATAAATGTACTTACAGCAGACCTCAAATATAGTTAAAATTAAAAACTTGCGTAGTCCTTTGCTATTGGCATACACTATGTCTACAGGTGTCCACGCATACAGTTTTGAATACTTGTTTAAAATTTGATTTCTCATCAACACTTTTATAGTACGTCCTGGTAACTTTGCTCTTTCCTTAACATTCCCTGCAAATCCCATCTTGCTTGAAACAATAGATTAAAACCAGACTGGCAGTTGGGGAAGGCTTTCTATTGCAACCATGTGTGCCAGAAGAAAGGATTAGGTTTCCTTGTCCAAGAACATCAAGGGGAACCTCCACCTCTCCAGACACACCTTTATTCCTCAGTAATGGAGACTTTATATCTAGTTAGATTTAAATGGGATAAGGAAAGCGTTTAAGTCCACTTTTAGCTCTAGTAGTATAATCAGCCCTCAAGTCTCAAAGTATCCAATTTTGTCTCTCTAATTTAATTCTAAGTGTCAGGTTGGTATTAGATGCTGATCAAGGTAGTGGAGAGTTGCCCTACACATTTATTCACTTAAAGAAGAATTCTGCAGACTGCAAAGACTATAGATGCCATCTATGTTCAAAACTAATGTAAAGCACAATCCATTCACCTCTAACCTTTCCTTTATATTGAATCTGTTTTCCAAATATAGAGGAAGAGATTCCATAGTGAAGGTAAATCTTTCTCTTCATAATTTGGGGTATAGCCATGCTACCTTAGGCTGGACTCATTCTGAGGATCTTAAGCAAAGTGAGACAGGGTCTACCTTTGAATGAGATCACTTTTGAGTGTTCTTAAAGTATGCAGGAAACCATAATAATGACAGGGAGATCATTTCTCCCCCCCTCCCACCTTTGGCTTAATTATCGAGTTCTAGCCCTCATTTCATAGTGGTGAAAGTCGGCCAAAGATACTAAGTACCTTGACAAAAATCACACAACCAGTGACAGCGGGATAAGTGCTCTAAGTTCATTGATGCCACTATAAAGCTGAAGTAGCTAAGGCTAGGGCCAACCCAAGGACAAGGTTTCACCTAACAGCATGGATTTGTATCGTGCTTTCCAAGTCAGAGCAACTCGATGACTAATTTTTAAAGGGTTGATGCACTCATGTCTCCTCCCCTAACGTTAAAGATGCTGTTTCTCCTAGTAGTTTTTCGGGTAGGTGTCCATTATACCATCTTCTTTGTATGAGGATAATAATCAGAAGTCCTATCTGGTCTTTGGGAAAGAAACTTAGGGGGTTTAAGGGAGGCATTACTATCACTTTTTTCCTCCAGAAGATGCCATCTAGCAAAATTAAGGGAGAGACACACTGACGTGAATAGCAAAATGGGATTTTTCTCAGAGCACCTTTTCCTTAAAATGAAGGGCCAAGACCAAAACTTTTTCTAGATTCAGCTTCTTACCTTAAGGACTCTGCTACTCCACAACAATGAAAACATTTGGCGGGGGGTGGAAGAAGGTGGGAAGGGTGGAGAGAATCAGAGTAGACAAAAGTGAATAATTTGCATGGGTTGATCTTCAGACAATGACTCCATTGCTTATAGAGTCCTTAGTGTGGGATCCCAGATAGAGGATTAGTTATATGTGGATGGTGCAGACCTGGGGGTTCCTGCTCATATTTAATATTTCCTCTCTATACTTATTTTAAATAGCTGTTTCAACATCAGAGTACAAGGATTCACAGAAGACGGAGAATTTCCCCCTTGACTGTGGGTCCAGAATGGGGAAAATAATTTTCTAGAAATGTAAGAGAACTTTCAATACTCTCTATTCCTATTGTTCACCCTCACTCTTAGGAGATGTTCTTTGGAAGAGATGGAGCTTAGAAACTTGCAAATTAAGGGCACCTTGGTGGCTCAGTTGGTTAAGCGTCTGACTTCGGCTCAGGCCATGATCTCATGGTTCGTGGGTTCGAGCCCTGCATCAGGCTCTGTGCTGACAGCTAGCTCAGAGCCTGGAGCCTGCTTCAGATTCTGTGTCTCCCCCTCTCTCTGACCCTCCCCTGCTCATGCTGTCTCTCTCTCTCTCTCTCTTTCTTTCTCTTTCTTTCTCTCTCTCAGAAATAAATAAAACATTAAAAAAAGAAATTAGCAAATTAAAGT